AAGTATTTCAATTATTATAATATATAATTTTTATAGTTTTAAAATATTAATTTATTAATAATACTATTTCAAGTCAATTCGAGTCAAGTCGAATTTGAGTCAAGTTTAAATCAAGTTGAGTTAAATATTTAACTCGACTCGAATTTGATTTGACTCACAAATCATTAAGTCAAAAAATATAAACTTGACTCAATTTAAACTCAACTTGGCTTATCTGACTCATGAATTAACTTGACTTGTCTAGAACTCTATTCAATATAACGAAAGCTGAAACTGTTAAAACTATATTAAAAATATAGAAAAAGGTATGACAAAATTATTTTGAGGAGGTTTTGGCAGGCATCTATAAGGAATACTATTTTAAAAATATATATATTTTTATAATTATATAAAATCTTTAGAACTATTTAATGAAAAAGTAAATGAAAAAAATTTTTATATGTAAAATATATATATTTTTATAACATATTATATATACAAAAAATTTTAATGTATATATATATATTATATATATATATTAAAATTTTAATTAAAAGCAATTATATATTATATATATTATAATAATATATTTTACATATTTTAAACATTAATATAATCAAATTTTTATATAATTATTTCCCATACAATTATATTTTCTTATCAATTTTATAATTACTAAAACTTGAATTTTACAAATTATTAATATTTGTAAGTAATAAATTTAACAAACCTTATACTTTTTTTATTTATTTATATCACTTATTATTAAGAAGATTTGTTTTTAAATTAATTTTTATTTATTTATGAATCTATATATTTATACATATTTATTAAATTATTTTACTTTTTCTTTTGTTTAAAATAAGTATTATATGTTCTAATTTATTTATAGTTTATTATTTTTTTCATTTTTTTTTCAATATATATCTTTCTCTTTATTATTATATTCTTTTAGTTATATTCAATATTTTAAGTAATTATTCATTATCTATTTTTTAATATTCTTCAATTTATCTTTTTCTTATAAGTCTTTATTTAATTTTTTTCTTTTTTTTGTTATTTCAATTTATTATTATTTTATTATAGTTTTTTTTTGTCATTTTTTTAAGTATTTCTTTAATTATATTTAATTTTTATTATTTATTATTCTAAATTATTTTAAATTTATTAAGATATTTTTATTATTTTTTTTTCTTTATTCTAATATTTATTTTTATTTTTTTCATTTATAATAATAATATTTTTTTTATTTTTAGACCTATATCTGATTATTTATAAATATCTTTTATTATTTATCTTATTCTTCATATATCTTATATATTATTTACTTTTCTTTTCATTTATTTAAATATTATATTTTTTTTATATGTATATTATTTTTATTATTATTATTATTATATTATATTTTTTATATTTTCTTTATTTTATATTATTTTTATATATTTATTATTCTTTTCTATTATTATTATTTTTAAATAAATCATTTTTTATATCTAAATTCTTTTATTTAATTTAGAATTATTATTATAAAATTTTTGTTAATAAAACTAATTATATGTTTTTACAAAATAAAATACTATTTCTATTTATAATAATTTATTATTGAATACTGTTGTAGATTATTCTTCTAATTTCCAAACTTTTATCAATATTTTTTATTTCTGTTTCTAATTCCTATTCCTTTTGATATTTTCTTATAATTACATCATATTTAAGGTTATTTGTCTAAATTTATTTTAGATTTAATAAAACATTGTAGATTCAAGAAATCACAAAATAATATATCATGTGATCCTTTTCAGCAAAGTAAATAATAATGTAAAAATAATAATATCGAGAGTTTAGGAAATAACCAATTGAATGAATGGTCATGAAGGAAAAATAATTAGCCAAAATTCATGATATTGAAGGAATAAAATAATTAGAATAATGTAACAGAACTGTAAAAAAACAAATATTTTTATTACTTTAAAGTTGACTAGAATTTGTAAAATTAAAAAATAAAAATAATGAAAATAAAAAAAATTAGATTATTAATTATTGATATAAATCGGTAATACACTTGGTTAAAGCAACGTGAAGTCTATTAGATAAAGGTAAATAATTATTTACTAACAAAATACATTGCATTATTTCTATGTAATCTTGTTGTGCTCATCTCGCCGTGATCATATTTGTTGCTAAGGCATTCCTATCTCTTTCTATGCTATCCTGGCTCTTAATTCATTGATTGTAATTCCACCAAAATTATTAATGGTTGAAATCTATCGAACGTTTAGGTTTTTATAGTTCAGAAAACCAAAGAGTTGCCCATATGAAGAATACCTTTGATAGTATGGTAAACCACAGTTATATTTTCTTAGAACTTCATTCATCCATATTGTAATTATTTCACTTAAATCGTCCACCGCTTCCCTTGCTTTTACTGATTCGCATTTTGTTGGTTATACTTTCGATAATAATTTTAGGAGTTTAGTAAGAATTAAGCGTATCTAGATTGAGAATGAAATACTTACAAACAAATTTTTTTTTTGTCCTATTCCTTTGGAATCTGTCCAATAATTAGTCTCGTCTCTTGTAAAACATATAATGAAGCGTACTCTCTATTCAGATTATTGGTTGTTTTAATTAGACCTTAGTTTTTTTGAACAAGAATGTCATTTTGCGTCTTGTAAGAAAATTATTAAATAACAAGAGCTTAAATCAAATAAAGCATATCATAGTGACTTGAACCTTTCAGCCGTAATCAAATTAATTAAACTCTCCTAATTAAATGGTCAATCAGTCGGATGAATGGCGAAAAATAAATTAATAAATTTAATAAATAAATAAAAAATAACATTGTGCACATAGTTTCTAACCAACAAAGCTTATTTAGTATTACATGAATAAGCTATAGTAAGATAAATCGTAACAAAAAGATTTACCACTTTATTGAGTCAGATTTCTAATATACAATAGAATGGGTCGGGCTTGCTTTCGTCAATCTAAACTTTCGTCATTGGCGACGAATATTCACGTGACTAATATTTGTTCACCAGCTAAAAATTTCACACACGTAGAGCTAGATATCACTAATTATGCATCATAAAATTGTTTTAAAAAAAATGTTAAAATAGCTAAAATCATATTTGTTAAAATTAAAAATCGTATAGTTAAATTAGCTAAGAATCGTATAGTTAAAAATTTAAATTTATTAGTTACTTCCATTATGTTCGATAAAAAAAAAAATTTTCACATAAAAAGCGTATTTTTAATAGAAAGTTATATCAAAACTTATCGCAAACATAACTCTTTATATTTTTAATAAATATGATATTATTTTTGCATAATAATAATTGTTTTCAAATATATATAGATATACAAGTAAGAATAGAATTCATTTGTATTAGTAATTTAAATTTTCTAATAATCTATATATATAATAAAGAAAATATTATTAAAAATTTAATATATTAAAAATTTAAAGAGAATAACAAATTTATTAGAGAGCATCTTATAAGTCTTGGAAAAGACTAGACTTAGACTGATTAATGAGATAGGTTTTTAAGATTATTAGACTGAACTGATCTATTATGTGATATTTTATTATAGCTTTATAATTGATGATGCTAATACTATAGATGTAAACCGTTTAAAAAGTTAAATGGTTAAAATGAAATGAAAAAAATTTTAATCCTTTAATAAAGAAGAAAAAATATTTAAAAGTTATGTTGCATTAATTAAAGTTTGAACGGTTTTTTTTAAAAATTATTAAATGATCAGCAAATAAATGATTTAAATATTATTATTTCGTTATTGAGATAAATTTATAATGCAAAATTACATATAATTACATAGAATATTAATGATCGTTATTCGAAACTAATTAAAACAACATTTCAATCTCTTGAATTAATTTTTCATAATTCAGTCCATCTATTGCAAGATAGATTCTGTTCCATACCTCTGACTTTGCGCAATCTTTCCAGAAATTCAATAACATTTGTGCTCGATTCTTAATATTATCATCTCTATCAAAGGGAATTCTTTCTAATGATGGTCTATGAAGCATTAAATAAAATGAACGTACAAAACATATCAAATCAACTTGTGGACTATAAATAATTTCTTCCCCATTGATTAATGATTCCAGGATTGCATCTGGCATACATTCTAATGCACCTGCAAATGTGATGTTTACGAGAATTTCTGCACTATAACCCCAGTCGGCAATAAAGATGCTTAAATCATCTAAATTGCGAAGAAAATTAAATTTTCTAAGATCTCTATGTATAATCCCATGTGAATGAACATTTTGTAAGGTGATAATTATATCTCTGATATCCTGTTTTTGAAAATTACGGATTTTCTCACCAAATGGAGTCATAATAAGTGTATTATCATTGGAAAATAGGATCTTTGGGATATGTGGCGACTCTATAGTGGATAGTTCTTCCAATACATTTTGTTCCCTCTCAAAACAAGGTAAATAGTCCACCTTTTTTGCCATTTTCACAGCCACACGTACATTATTATTGAGTTTTCCTTCATAGACAACACTGGTTCTGCCTATACCAACAGACCGAACCAGATTTATAATTTCATTGTCAAATTTCAAGGTTGGTTCAATCCATCCCAATTCTTCCGGAGATCTTTCCAAAATTGTTACCAGGTATTTCCATCCTTTATCAGAAACAGGATTTTTTTCTAAAGGCTGGGGTGCCACGTGGTCGTACTTAAATTGGGTGATTGGATTTTGATAGTTGTTATTCATATCCACCCTAGTTACTTTGTAGATATTAATTATAAGACAATCCGTCAACACTACATATACATAATTTCGTTGTGGTTGAAGTTGGAGTGTTTTTTCACCGAATGATATTGCTTGTCCTATTTGTGCATCGCTAAAATTTTCTCCAAATCGCTTCTTTACCTCACCAACAACAACAGCATTTAACATATCTAAATGTGAATCGTTTGGAATGAATAAAAAATCCGGTTTTCGAGTACCTAACGTTGGAGCAAGATGTGTATCTATAACAGTAAGTTTGTTGTTTATAAAATCATAATTTTCTAGAGCCTTGCATTCGGACATAAAATAATCTTGTATTTTTGCCTCACTGGGATTTGCATATTTATCCTTATTAGGTGGACGATTAAACTTTCCAGGTGATCTTGCTTTGGTACTGGTAGTTAAGTCGAATGGAAAGCTAATAGGGGGTGCGGCTAGCACCAATTTACCCGTATCAGTTTCATTGAAAGTACCTAAACACAAATCATTAATGAAGTTTTGCAGAAATGGCTAGTAGATCAGATGAATAATATACCTGATGAATAAAACGATGCCTCCATAACTTTGTGTATCTTCCTAAAACCACTATCCATTTTTTGATTAAGTTCCACAATTCCTCTTTGCAACGAAACTATATCAGGAACTTTTTCTGATAAAGAATATATCATTAGCGATATATAGATATTATTGTGGAACAAAAAAAAAAATCAATCCGAATCGCGTTCACGACTCACATACCGGAATGTTCTACAGTAACGGGAATTTTTTTTGGGAGAGTTTGTCGATAAGCAGCAGGAAAAAAAGCACATTATATTGGAGTTAAAAAAGAAAAAAAGAAAAGGTATTTCATATTATAACGAAAGATATTTTACTTAAAAATTCTTCAAGCGTAACTTTTATTTCCTCGTTGCCCCCTACAAAATAATTCAAACGATCCGCTTCCCCCATTTTTAGAAGTTGAAATCTAATCTTTGCACGTATATTTATGTCATTAAATATTTCTTGTATTTTATCTTCCGCGGCTTTCCAACTTTCCATTTTTATTACGTGAAAAAAGTAGAAAAAGTTACATTTAAAATAAAAAAAACATTATATATATATATATTATGCAAACTTTAATTCATGCGTCATAAATCAGTTCACATGATGATAAAGAGTCAACAGGAATGAACAAAGTTAAGGTAATAAAAAATTAAAGATGAGAATATAAAACATATTTCAAAAATCTCCTTATATATGACTTTACAGAAATAGTAATAATTCAATCAGAATATAAAAAGATGTTCGAGAGAGAGAAAATATTTAAAAATTTTTATATAATATTAATGGGCGTCACTTTCTGACGCGACTGTACATATGTATACTATTCGTTCTTTTGCGAACACGCGTCTTTTATAATAGTGAAAATAGTGCGTAAAATTGAGTTAATATTATTCACGTTAATTTTAATGATAAGTGATTTAGAGGTGCTATTTTTTAACTGAAGAAGGCCGCAGTATGGATAAACCAATTTTATGGATTCTAAATTATATCCTAATTGTTTCCTTTTGTGGTAGTGAATTCGTGTTTTTGTATCATATAAATCCAAATTTATTCTTTGTAATAAAATCTTGAATCTTATTTTAATAATGGCAACAACAACAAAAACTCAACCGCAATTATCATTACATGGTAGAATTCCACATAATGTTCTTGCTATATTAGCTTCTTCGGTTAACCACGTCGAGGAAGTTGAAGGTATGTATATTCTTTCTTATAAAGCATGCATTGTTACATACCATTTTCTTATTTATTTCTCTCATTAGAACATATATGGAGTATACCGAACGAAAACTCGTGGGAATTGAATTCGGATACGGTTGTAACTTATTTGTTAAATCTTTCATTTACAAATAAATAAATAAATCTAATAATAATAAAAAAATTTTTTATTGTTAATCTTAGGCGCAAGCATTTCAGAGCACAAACAATAATTATCCTCATTATTTATTCTCTACATCTGATAGTGGTAATCATCTTGTTGGGTCTTCTAGAAATTATATTGTAATTTTAAGTTTGGATGAAACGAGGAAAGAGTTTAAAGTTATCGGAGAAGTTAACGAATGCTATGAAGCAGGGTTCGTATAACAGCAAAATTCTTGGTTCAATTAACTATTAGAAAAGTGCTTACTAAAAAATATTTCATCCGATTAAAATAGGGAAAAGATAACTGCTATTTTGTGTTTACCTTTCTTTATGCCATCAGCTGGAAATAGGTGTGTTTATTTAAAAAGTTAATTATTAACTTATTTAATATGTATGTTAAATATTATTTATGCATTTTAGTCATATATTCGTGTTAGTTGGTTATAATACAGGATATCTTAGGATATTTTCAGAGGTATTATTAATAAACCACATTTGCTTAAATTCTTTTAATCAAGAATCATTTTAAATTTATCCATCATATAGGCAGGCAATTTATTAATTTCGCAATTATTGGATACATCACCAATTATTGCCATAAAACTTCGTACTGCGATTTTCCCAACATATTCATTACCAGCATCTTTGTCATCGCAGCAAAAGTTAGATTCACAATCATTCAATGAAGCGGATGAAGAAATAACTATATTATTTGAAGGTGGCAACGTTGTTAGTATAGATGGAAAAAGTTTATGGTTGGTCCTTAGGATTTGTGCTGGATCAAATCATTATGAGAGCGGTAATATATTGACTAGTTCAACAGGTGAAGCTAGTGCTGGTCAAGGACCTGATGGAACAACTTCATTTGCATTTAAGAAATGGCATTTTGAAGGACAGGAAAATGTTGTTGATGTTGTCAGTTGTGGTGAGATTCGCACTTTAAATTCAACTTTCTTCCCTCAAAATTTAAAAATTCAAAGTTGATATATTATATTGGTTTAGGTCCATCTCAGCATTGGACAGCAAATATATTTGATCAGACTTTCTCAACATCTTCCGCAACAACTGCATTATTTATATCAAATGCTACAGCAAGATTCATTGCAGTAGGATCGGATCCAATGTTGTCATATTATGCTACAACAGATTCGAGCAGACCATTTTTATTGGCCGTATCAATGGTAGCATCAAGAGTTACAAATGCTGTGTTTTCTATAGCAAAATCATTATTAACTAGAACAATTCCTACTTCCGCCACTGGAGATGTTTCTCCGTCGACTAATATGCCACCTGCAAAATCTATTCCTATTGTGCTTTCTTTAAATGATTCAAATAGAAAAGTTTTATCTATTGTTATGTCACCTGCTGCAGCTGATGGGAAATATCAATTGGCCGCATTAACTGATTCATTTGGCAGGGTAACTTGATTTTTATTTTATTTTATTTTTTTTTTTTGCTTTCAGATATAGAAATAATATCTATTATTTATTTACTTTAATTAGGTAACATTAATAGATGTTGAAGAGGGAGAAATTATTGCAATGTATAAGGGAATAAGAAATGCTCGATGCGGATGGGTTGAGGCTATTGAAGATGATGATACAGAAGATAATGATAAATCTAACGAATATATTCAAATCAAATCCAAAAATTATCTTTCATCGTCATCAACCTCGTCATCTTTTATAGAAGAAATGAAACATAGAAAAAGAAGCAAAAGAATTACATTATTTCTTGTAATATATGCGCCTCTTCGTGGCATTGTCGAAATCCATCATATGCGTCATGGAATTCGCGTTGGACAATTTTCAATTGGATTAGGATGGCATGTTGTTACTTCAGCTTCTGCCCCACTTGGAACTAGTATGGGGGGTGGAATGAGTTTTTATGAACAAGGTAGAAGAGGATGTAGAAATGCTGGATTGGCTAAATGTTTTTTGATAGGACCTCAAGGCGAAATTAAGAGAGTTCATGTTCCTTTTGGATGTGCAATCATGTACGAGTAATTTCTCAGTTCTCTTAAATCTCTTTTTTTCCGAGTGGAAATTAAGTTTTGTCTTTACTTTTTAGGAAGCCAATCAATCAAATTAATGTGTTCAGGGGACTTTTGTGTAAATATGAGACGGATACTGCAGAAAATAAGGATGCTCTTTTACAACAACTCATGAAAACTCTTCATTTGATAACAGATCCTAGAATGCAATTGGAAGTTAGTGTAAAACATATTTTTGGAATATTTATTTATTTATATTATATTATAATAAACCTGAATACTTTTTTAGATGTTAATATCACTTCCGGATTCATTAGCTCCAACGTTTCATTTGCTTGCAACACAATCTTCAATAGATTCAATGCAAATGTTGGATTCACTTGATTTCTTGGAATTTATTCATGATATTCGAGGTCAACTATTCAAAGGAATTAGTCAAGATGATAAGAAATTAATTCGTTTAGAATTAGTTTTACGAGAAAATCTATTACATCTTTATCAAACTTTAGAAGGTTGGAATGTCGAAAGTTCAGATAATCATGATAATGTAGGTGCGGTAATCGGTGGTCACAATGACCACTCATCTGTTGTTGAAGATGAAACGTTTGAACGGTCAGTGAAATTTCTCTTTGAAGGATGCACAAATACTGAAGAAGCTAAACATGAAAGTGAAGCAACAAAAGGGATTGGGCCAAGTTCTTTCATGTCTTCCTTCTTATTGAAGAGTTTGGATACATCAGACGATGGAGCTTATTTAATGTTGGATAATGAGATGGATGAATTAAGAAAGTGGCAATTAGGTAAATAACCTTTAATGCGGTTTAAAATTCAAAAAAAAAAATATACATCCTTATATATATATATTCCTGATTACCTCTCTAGCTGATTTTTTATTAAAGCCACTAATAATATCAACGTCACCAAACGAATGGATTGAAACAATAAGAAAAAGGATACCGATCTCAACAAAAGATTGGCTAGGATTATTTTTATTTTGGTTTGAGCGAACCAGCTTAGCATCGTTAACTAATTTTATATTAAAAGATAATTCAAATTTTCTATTTATTATATTAAACAATTTTTCTTCAATCACAATAAACTTTGAAGATAAATTTGTATTTAGTAAAGTTATCAATTTTTGTTTGAACACAGATAAGGTATATTTAATAACCTAATTGACTAGAAAGATATCTGATAATTTCTAATTTGCTTTTTATATTTATAGATTGGTCATGCTTTATTATTATTGATTGCGTGTCAATATGGAAATCCATCTGTAGATGACCATGAGGTATGCTGTAAAGTCTATAAGTACTAAGTTGCTTATGATTAATTTTCTTTTTTCTTTTTTTTTGGGCAATTGCAATAACAGATTGATTGGAGGTCTTTGGTTACTAAGTTGGAGACGTGCTGGAATTTAGTTAAGGATGCACATCCAATGATAGTTTCAGAAATAGGATTAACTGCTCTAAATTTTAATAAGGTATACTTCATGAAGTAAACTTTGCCAAAAGGTTAATTTGTATTTAAGTAGTCTAAATTTGTGTTTGTCATTATTTAGTTTGAGAAAACTAGTTTAACAAGAATATCCGCGATTAAAGATTTGAAGTTTGATGGAAAACTTAATTTGGATGTAATATCTTATTATTTATTCTATAATAATATCGTGCCATATAGGCTTATTATGATTTGTTTTAGGAGATAAGCACTTCAACTTCACCTAAGTCAGATTTATACTGGATATACAGAAGTTGGACATTTGGACAACTGTTTAAAAAGGATAGAGATAATACCGGTAAATTTATTAATGATTTTCTCGATAATCATCTATTACTTTTTTTTTTTTTTTTTTTTTTTAATAAATTTTTTGGGGGGCAGATCTACTGAGAATTGCAATTGAGCAAGCAAAATTAATAAGCGATGTAGCATTAAGAAACGGGTTATTGCATCTAATATGGAATGCTTTGTGTATGGAACAAATTAGTTCTATTAATACTTTAGTTGAAAAGGCGCGTAAAGCTCCAAAAGACCATTTATGTATTAAACAATGTGGTATGGGAGGTAAATAATTTATATAATTTATATTGTAATATCCTTTTGTCATTACCAAGGGAGGTATTAACATTCCTGACTTAATAGTCAAGATGATAGATTCATTCTTATTTTCATCGAGAACATTATTCGAATCATTTATCTGGGAGTCTGAAGAAGGAATCGATACATCTCACATTTCTAATGTTGTGGAATCTGTTATAACCATTCCTGATGATATAGAGAATCGGGATGCATATCTTAATGATGCAATGGGAAGGATGTGTAATTTATTTAAAGCTGTTGATGATGCACAAGAGAGTAAAATTTTTAACAGGTTAGTGATATTATTATTATTATTATTATTATTATTTTAGAAATGTCTAGTGCATTGATTGATTATATATATATTTTAACATTACAGGAATCTTGTGGAAAGATTAATTGAATTAATCCATGTCCTATTACTTGTATTTCGCATTGAAGTTCGTATGATTCGACCTTCAAAATTATTTGAATCAAATTTATCATTTTTTAATTCATTGTTGATCACTAAAGGAGAACATCCTACAGAAAGTAATTCAAAGTAAGTATCATATGTATGTACATTTCGTTTTAAATTCACCGCTTCTTTAATAAATGGAACCCTAAATATAGGATCGGAGAAGAACGAATGATGTTTTTGAAAAAATTAATTGATAAATCATCGGATTATCTCGATGATATTTTATGGATCACGAAAAAATTCGAGATGAATGAAAATGACATAAGAAGTTATTGGGAATCCAAATATAGTAAAGCTTGAAATAGTGGGATGGTTAAAATATTTATTTGTAAATTTTATTGTCAATGTAAAATAAATCTAATCAGATCATAAAATTGATCGGTTATTCTTGATCAGCTGAGGAATATGGATAAAAAGATTTTTATTATCAATATGGAAATCATCATCAACAAAGATCATCACCATATACTGTATTACAAAAATTAGTTCGTGGTTTCGGTAATATAATTAGAATGATGATAAATTATTCTCATAAAGTCGAAATATGTCGTGTCATCATTCTGTAAATTAGTATTGAAATATGATTGATAAACCAATTTTAAAGAAAAATTATGCTAAGGTTTAATGCCTAGCCAAACAAAACACAAGAATCTATATAGAATTAGAATGCATGACGATCGATCTTGTGAGCGAATCAACGTAAATAAGGGATTTTTAAGGTTTTATGAACTAAAATCGTCCACACCTTGTTTAATAAGCAGTATTATTTGCGACAAATATAAGATCCAGACACGAACAATATTGAAGTACGCGAAGTGTCGTATGTAGTTTATGCGTTGCGTGTAACAGATTAGGGTTTTTGTTTGAGAACAATCCTCAATTGTGTTTCAAAAAGATCCAAAACAGGTAATCTGTGTAAATGCAATATAATTAAACGTCTAAAAATAGTAAGAAATAGGATCTGCGGGGTTTGTATACAAATTTCTTATGGCACTTTTCTGGAAGTTTTAACCCTTTCAATGCACAGATTATTATCATTCCCAATCTTTTGTTCAAAGTAAGTCAAAAAAAAATTACCTTTTTTCGGAAAATTCTGAAAGTTCTTTGTTAAAATATGAGCAAAGAAAATCACCAAAAGAAAAAAAATGGATAATTATCAATGATAGGTGTTTTAAAAGATTAAAAAAAGATTAATTACCAAATAAAGATAAGAATAATTTTTACCATTTTTTTTTTTTTTTTTTGATATAGATAATTATTTTTTATTGAACATCCGTAACATGCCACTATTCTCCTTTATCTTTTGAAAGATAAAAAGGATGACCTAATTTTTTCTTTCTATCATCATAACACTTTTTTGTTTGATCTTCTTATAAAAGAATCAGCCGCATGGCCCTTTGTTGCCATGATTTTTTGGTGATAGTGACATCAAAGAATTCTTTACTTGGCAAAACCTTAATAAAAGTCCCTCATGGAAGGAAACCGAATTTGGTTAAAAATGATTGACAAAGAATATTAGCGAAAGAATCCGTTGAAAGCCATTTTATTATTTATTTATTTATTATCTTTATTTTTTATTATTATTTCTTTGCAGAAAATTAAGTGATAAATGCGAACTTTATTTGATTTTATCACAGAGTATATACTTTCACCAATATTTAAATAATCTACAAATATAAATAATTAATTAAAATTTTCCAAATGAGTTGTGTAGTGTGCAACCTTGACGTTTTAGTTAAGGGAAGTTGATGTAATAAGTCCAATTAGGTACCACGTTTTTTTTTTTATTTTTATATAAATAAATGTTCCATCAGCCTTTTTTAAAAAGCAACCAATTTTTTTAATTCTCAATATTTTTCCTGCAAATAATTTTTTTTTTTTTTTTTTTTTTTTTTTTTTTAAAAAAAAAAATATATATATATAAACAAATAATAAACAACTCTTTAAAATCTCGAAAATAAACTTAATATGAATAATAGTATTATTGCGGTTGATATCTTGCCAAATAATGATGGCAAACTGGTTATGTATGGAGCACCTAATAAAGATATTACACATTCAGTTTCTGGCAAACTACGTATAATATTATCGAAACCATTAAAAACCAAATTAATTTCAATTAAATTAAAGGGGAAATCCGAATATTCTGATTGGGAAAATCAATATTCTTGTATGAATATAGTGAAATTGGATAAAGTTTTACGAGAGAAGTCCACTTTGCCAAGCGGGGTGACGGATTTAGATTATGAATTTAATATCAATGGGAATATTCCACAAACTTACGTTACATCATTTGGTCTTATAAGATATAAATTAGTAGCTATAGTACAACCAAGTTCTTTACTGGCGAAGCAGAGTCGTGTCGAAAGGTCCATTAATATCGCAAGGCATTATTTACCATGTAGAAGAGAACTTTTACCCGCTCCTCCTACAAAAGTTTATCGAGGTCAAAGAAAAGACATCTTAAAATATGAATTAGATGTTCCAACCATCATTTGCGTAAACGATAATTCTTTATTAATTCGATTAAGGTTACTTCCCCTTTGCGATCAAGGAAAAGTGAGAAAGGTCACTTTTGATTTAATACAATCTGAAAAATACAGGTTAGTTAAAAATTATTTTATTCCTCGTAAAAATTTGCCGGCTTCCCTTCTTTAAAAAATAACCAATACGACGATTTATTTTTTAGGATTCAACCGTCACCTCAAGATCTTCAAGAATTTTCAATTGACCCCAATCAACTTATTGGAAATGTTCAATTGAGTAGTTCATCAATGGCAAAACGAAAGAGATCACATCCAATTCATCCAACTTCCTTAAATATTTCTTATGATGAAGATACTTGGGACAATCCTTTAACTTATAATTTACCTATTGAACAACATAATTCCCGTCATAATAATAATAATGATGCTAAGAGATCTAAATTGAAAGCAACTATAAAAAGTCCTTTAATGCGTGTAAGGCATAAATTAAAGATCACCATGTCTTTTGAATCCAGAGCAGAGAAGACCTTAGAATTAGGATTTCCAATTATCGTTACGACAATACCTGATGATGATACAGCAAATCGTCTCTTCATGTTTTCAAATAATGATTTACCAACTTATGATGATGTCATCAATCATATTAACGACACTTTACCTCAAGAAGAAGTTGTTTCTCGTCCAATGACCCCAGAATCACATTCTCAAAATCATTCGAGAAGTAGTACAAGACCCACGACTCCAAACCTTTATGAAGATGGTAGTGGTGATTCTCGTTCTGTTACCCCAACTCCTTCCCCTCTTACCCCCGATTATTTCACGATTAATTCAAATACAAATGTTTCATCACCCTTTCCGACCTCGGTTTCGGATCAACATCTACCCTTACATCCTCCTTTACATAAAAAGAAAAGTCAGCGTTCTTTAGCCCAAGCCATAGGAAGGTTGTTTTTACGTTCAGAAAGTAGTTCTCGTCCAACTTCTCCATCACAAAGTGTGTCTACAACACCAACTTTAACACCAAATTTATCACCTACTTTATCTTCATATCCGGCTATTCCTTCCCTTCCAAATAATTATCGTTCAAAGACACCTCCTCAATTAGACTTGGCTTCACAAAATTTTGCCTTTTCTTCTTCTTCTGTTGACACATCACCATCATTGTACCAACGATCATCAGTTAGGAGGAGTAGGACTTTAGCTACTTCGACAAGTCTAAGGAGTGGTTTATCAGATGTTAATAATTCAAGAACAAATCATTTATATGCTCGAACCAATAGTCCAATATGGCATCTTAATATGCCTGATGAGGATGATGTACCTGCAATCACACCTGAGATTCATTCGGCTCCTTCAAGTCCACGTGAATCTTTGATACCAAATGTTCCAGAATCGTCCACTTCAAAGAATCTTCTTCCTCCAACGTTGGATCATCAAAGACGTAATAGAAGACGAGCTCATAGAAGATCAGCATCATTCGATTCTTCTCTAGCAAAAAATGAAAATCAAATTGTATATGGACCAACTACTCCCACAAGATCTAATACTGATAATTCTTCAATCTCTACTTTATTAAGGCACCCTAGTCTCAGTAATCTTAAAGGAGTTGTAAAACGTCGTCTACAGAAAAAACCTTCTTCCGATGATAATAATGCATCGAGCCTTGGTCTTAACGAAATTGATATTAATATTATAATACCAAGTCCAACTTTGGAGTTTTATAATAACTCCTAAAAAAATACTTATTAAAAGGACTTATTTGTAAAAAAAAAACAAAATAATTCAGAGAATTTCGCAGGTCGGAACTTTTAATCTCTTGTATACATTTTTTATTTCCTTCATTCATGAACTGCATATTTGTTACATAATTATTAAATTCTAGACTATTTTTTTTTTACTTTTTTTTTTTTTTAAAAAAATAAAAATAAAAAAAAACATTTTAGAATAGAAAAAATTAATTGAACTTGGGAAATTTTGTTGTATAGTATTATATACTTAGTAATTATTATTTTATTTCTTATTAACAATCCTCTTTTAATTTTTAATTTTAATTATTTTATATATACCTTAAAAGTTGCATTGATTTTTCTTTATGAATGATAATAAATGATCTTTTTAATATTAAATGATTGATTTTGAGTAATTACAAGATTGGAACGAAAATAATGAATACCCTAGGGAAAATCTATATCCGAAATTTTTAATCATCCCGAATTCATCAACAAAATTGTCGTCCTCCATACTGCGGCCTTCAAATAAAAATTAAATAACATACTAGTAAAGCAAACAATAACAGAATTATTCGATTTCTACTATTCTTTATTTGGTTATCTGTAAAATATTTAAAACGTGTCAAGGATTCAATAGTTTAGAAAAATTCACATCCGCCCAGCTATTGATTTAATCTTTCATATTATAAATCATCTATCCGTAAAACTTGATTTGCAGAGCAGGTCTGCATGTAGCGAAACATTAAAGGAACTACGATCAAGGTAGCGAATCGCAACTGCTCATTGGTGCCCTGTCATTCCGATAAGTCACTGTCTAGGATGTCTGTGCACGTTTCCAAAGGATAATACCCTTCCATGTTTTTCGTAACAAAATGTAAAACTCGTACTGAGTTTCCGTAAAACCTGAATCTTTGATATTTTTTTTATATTTGTTCGCGTTGTTGTCACATATACAGACCCAGCGAAAATAATGGCGGTTAGTTTTTTTAATGCCATGAATGAAAATGATGAATATTTTTTTTATATTCTAAAGGAGAAACAAAAAAATACATATATTTTATTATTTAATTAGTATTTGATAAAGCCCTTCTTCATCAATAATATGTTTTAATTTGATAATTAACACAATTTTAATCTTATTTTTTTATTTTTTTTTTTTTTTTTTTATTTTTCTTGTCATCCAATGATAAAATAAACTATCATCGAATTCCTCTCAATTTGATGATTCGAATGGTGCTCTTTAAAAATGTGTGTAATGAGATCGCTATGGTTAAAATTAGAAAATGAACATCAAACAAATATTAGAATATAATTTTTTTTATTTAAATTTAATTGGAAAATGCTGATCTTACATTTAAAATACTATATATATCACTCTTACTACCATTCTTTTTATTAGCATATAATAATACCATTTATTATAATACTTTCATAGCAAAGGATAAAGATGATAATAATAGATTTCAAGTTCTCTTTTTTTAATGTAATATGAAAAGTATATAGAAGGTAAACTTTTTGTATTCAAAAAAGTTATAGAGAATTTTATTTAGCAATTGAATAATCATTAAAAAAAACATCTGATCCTGTATAAGGCATCTGATTGTAATGATTAGAATCTTGTCATAATAATTAATGTGATATCTACTAAGTTTACTAGTATTAAAATGGTCAAAGTATACATAGTTATACTTATGTTACTTAGGAGAATTATTCTCAAAATATACAATACGGTTATCTTAATGTGATATTTTCATAATTAAGGATTCTTCCTGTATAAGAAACAATTAAATAAATTAATTATTTATTTTTTATTTATTTAACTTGCATTTATAAAGTTTTCAATAATTTATTAAATAATTATAACTTTTTCAAGATAATTTTAAGTTCATCTGATATAATAAATAATTCAAATGAAAAGTATTGATAGTATAGTTATATACAAAAAAACTAAAAAATTTGAATAAAATGAATACAGTCACACCTCGATATAACAAAGTTGCCGATCCAGCCGATCAGGACTTCGTTATAAGAATCTTTGTTAACGCTATAACAAATTATGCGAAATGTATAACGAATAATTCGTTATAGCGTTAACAAATTATTCATTATAGTAGATAATTACTGATTTCATTACACAAATATAATTTTACTATTTCCAGAAATATTTTCACATTATTAATTGTTGAACGACAGTTTTATTAATTTACTTAAATTTTTTTTTTAAAAA